AGAGGGGGGGGGGGGGGGGGGTAGAGGAGCAGCAGACAGACCACAGTTGTTGCAGTCTCAATTTTGCATTTCTTGACTTGTAATTTTTTTTAACAGTGCAGCCTTAATCTTGGCAGTGTGATAATTTTTTGACTTAATTTCCTTTTCATGAAGAGGAGGAGAAGGATATGGAGTTGGTTAGCTGACATTGCGAGTTTTACAGCTGTATCTGGTGCCTTCCTCAGACTGAAATGTGCACTTGTGGATGGGAGAAGGCAGCGGTAGTGTTTCATAGTTGTAGGGTCAGAAGGGACCTGAGGAGATCATCTAGTCTGACCCCCTGCCATGGCAGGAAAGAGTACTGGGGTCAAACAACCCCCGCCCGGCCTTTTTTTAAAGCCCCCCAGGGTAGGAGCCAGCACTACTTCTCCTGGAAGTTGGTTCCAGATCCTAGCCGCCCTGACAGCGAAGTAGCGCTTCCTGATGTCTAGCCTGAATCTACCCCCTGCCAGCTTGTGACCGTTGTTTCTTGTAACTCCCGGGAGTGCTCGGGGGAACAGGGACTCTCCCAATGCCTGCTGGTCCCCCTTGACTAGTTTGTAGACGTCCACTAGATCCCCTCTCAGCCTTCTCTTGTGGAGGCTGAACAGGTTCAGGTCCCGTAGCCTCTCCTCGTAGGGCCTGCCCTGCTGCCCCCGATCATGCGGGTGGCCCTCCTTTGGGCCCTCTCCATGCTGTCCACATCTGTCCTGAAGTGCAGCGCCCAGAACTGGACGCAGTACTCCACCTGCGGCCTGACCCAGTGTTGCATTGAGGGGGGGATCACCTGCTTGGACCTGCTCGAGATGCATCTGTGGATGCATGACAAGGTGCAGTTGGCCTTCCTGACCGCGTCCCCACACTGTTGGCCCATGTTCATTGTGGCATCAGTGATGACTCCAAGATCCTTTTCTGCCTCTGCACTGACGAGAAGGGAGTTCCCCAGCCTGTAGGTGTGCTGCTGGTTCTTCCTCCCCAGGTGCAGCACCTTGCACTTGTCAGTGTTGAAACCCATCCTGTTCTCATCTGCCCACCCCTGTAACCTGTCTAGGTCCGCTTGCAGCCTGTTCCTTCCTACTAGCGTACCCACTTCACCCCACATCTTAGTGTCATTGGCAAATTTGTGCAGGGTGCTTTCTACCCCTCGCCCAAGTCACTGATGAAGTTGTTGAATAGTGTGCACGGCTGCCGGATGTGATGGTGTCTGCAGCAGCACAGACTCAAACTGGGGCATTGTTTCACCTGTAACAGGAGCACGCCCTAATGAAAAGACCAACATGGCCATCCTTGTTGCCCCATGGGGATCCCCTTGACAGACATTGGCCAGTACATCCAGTATTTGGCAGCTCATCTTCAGATGCTATGGTTAACTGAACGTTTAGCTGAAAGATTTTTGGTGTCTGTGCAGTATAAAATAGTTTGTTGTAGAGCTTAGTTTTTGAGATCCACTATTAACTTCTGGTGCGATCTTTGAGTTAGGGTTGCTTGCAAAGAGATTTCTGTTTTAAGCAAAGGTCATGTAATGAGTGGGAACTGGTGATCCAGTAGGTGCATCTAGCAGAGTTAGGTTTAGTTTAATCAGAAAAATTATGTTAATTTTCTCAGATTTATTTGAGAACCTCTATAGACATGGTTGGGTCTTAAAAGTGACCCTAAGGGGACATTTTTAAAAAGGATTTAGGATCCAAATTCTTTAATGGAATATTTGGGGTAAGGACACAGGTTTAAATATTATTTATTACTTTTTTTGACTATCAAAACTTTAGGTTAGTGTTCTGTTCCATTCCCCTTCTCTTTCTACTCCAAAGGCTCTAGACCAAGGGTGAGATATCCGTGGCCAGTAGGCTGAATCCAACCCTTGAAGAAGTTGGATTCACCCTTTGAAGGTCAGAGTCAACCCATGGCACCCAAGGGATCAGCAGCCTGAATTTGGACCAAGCCACCCACCCCCTCTACAGCCCTCCCTGCTGTGCTCTCACGGCTGTGCTAACCCTTACACAGAATGTCCTTGTCTTCATTGCCGTTGGGAATGGAAGTCGTCAGTGAGAGTAAGCACTGGTGGCTTGGGCACTCCAGGCAGGTGGTAGAGATTTGTAGTCTGCGGTGTGGACTGAGTCATGAGCAATGGCTTTCCTATCAGAAAGCTCTGCTCTAAGCAAACTCCTGAAATGTGGTAAAGAATACACCTCTGTCTGGGTCAAATCCTGACCACTGTGCCTGATGGGTATAGTATTAAAACAGAAAAGAGATTTCAGTTTGGGTCACTTCTTTAGATAGATGCAGGGAAGCTTTTATACCTCCTTTAAAAGACAGCTTTAAGATCTACCCAAAATTAGCAGCGTATCCTAAATACCTTTAAAAGAACCTTAGCATGTCTAGGCCACTATTTTTGTTGGTACCTTGAGCGGTAACCTCAGGGCACGCTGTATTCTGTTATGGATTGGGTTCTTGAATAGTATGTTCACATTACTTTTTTGATAAAGTATTTAAGTTGGACATTGACTGATCTAAGATACTTGGCTGAAGTCCACTGGCATCCAATTTCCATACTGTAAGGCAGCAGTATAGGCCTTGGAAATGAAAACTGTCTTTGTAATGTCAAACCTAAATGCAGTTCTATTACATTTTATTTGAAAAGTGGAGTGAGACTACTGGATTTTAGTGAGAGTTCAGCAAATTGGTGGATTAACAATGTAGGGTTTAATGAGGTTTTGCTGGAACAAAAAGAGAGAACTTCTATGGCTTAATCTCTGGTTTTTCACCCTACTCTGAAAAAAATATGTTTAAGGTGTTTTTGCATTAAAGAAGGAATAACAAAGCTTAACCTTCTGTGGGTATTACAGGGTGCAAGAGAATTATAGCATTGGTAGTAATTGGTGAGTTTCTTCATTAAGTATTGTTCTTGTCACTTGTTTCTAGATGAAGACTGTTAGTGTTGCCTTAGTTTTGTGCCTAAACGTTGGTGTGGATCCTCCTGATGTGGTGAAGACAACTCCCTGTGCCCGGCTGGAATGCTGGATAGGTAAGTCCATTGAATATATTTAGGAGCAGTTTGGAAATTTTGCTTTTTCACATGAAAGCTCAAGCATATAAGGACATCGCAGCCTCACCAGCATGTTTCTTCTGGGCCGAACCGAAGGAAGTCTGTGACATCCAACTTGATTATGGCTGTGTAAATTAAGCAATCCAACTCCCCAACAATGACTACTTTTCCTGGTTTCTTCCAAAGGACAGTAACCCAAAGCTGATTCTTTTGCCTATAGTTGTCTTTCTAAAATTTCTTTTAAGTTTATTGAATACCCAACCAGAACTTTGTTAGGGTTTTAAAGTATTCTGTGGTGCAAAACATTAAGCAAATTAAATAAAACAATGCTCCATCATTGCAAAGGAACAGTTTAGCCAAAGTGCTCCAAAATAGACAAGTGATATTGTTTGTTTGAGAAGGCACCTCTTTGGTTATCTTGGACTGGGGGAAGTGAGTTTCAAGGACCAGGCTTCTTCTCAGAAAACATCTGGTCAGCAGTCTTTGCTGGAGTGCTTGCTGCATTAGTGTGGCAGTGGACACTTGACCCAACCTTTACTTGAAAACGGGGATTTCCCTGTATCTGGGGACAAATCTGGTTCCCGTCAAATTCATCTGGTCTTGATAATACTAGGCTGAAGCATGTGGTGTGTGTAAGCTGTCAAAGAGCTGTGTGGTTTTTAACTGCAGGTTGAAAATGCCCAACCTCTCTATAAGTGACGCTTTAAGCCATGCTATCTTGAATGTAGAATCGTGGGGCTTACAGAAGGCTGCAGAAGCAAAAGCGCCATTGTATAAATGGGGTTCCTTCATTTATAAAACTACCCTTTCTCTTGCTCTGCACTCACTAAGATGACAGCATGCTGTCAGAGATGGTAAAATACTGAAGATAATTGAGGTTCAAAAGCTGTGAACAAGCACCAACAAGTAGATCCATTTGGTGGAACGCGCAGCTTTTAGTTTGTATTATAAGTTAAAAAGTGAAACCGAAAGAGAAGATAAAACCAGGAGCAACTGGGACTCATCAAAATAAGATAATTAAGGATTGTAATCAGCAATGAGAATTCTGAGCACAGCTTCTTATTTCGATTTATACGACATAAGTGTCTGTCTCAGGCTTAGCTTGCCTTTCTCATAAATTTAAAATAAACATGTAAGAAGAAAAAGAGTTTCCCTTTCCCACACAGCAGTTTAGTTCTGAGATGACAACATGGTAACAACCCCTGCGTCTGAAAGAACCATACATAAAACCCAGGCCAAAAGGAGGCAGCGAGCACTGCTGTTATGATGGTTCAACAACAGTTGAGGATTTCAAATGAGAGCCGCTGCTTCTGTTAGCAAACAACAGGCCCATAGATCATCAAAGTCAGTTGTAGTTCTCATGTTTTCTGGATCTCATTCCTCTAAAAGGTGACGACTAAATTCTAGAGGACCTCATGACTGATCATTGATCAAAGCAGCACTAATATAACATCCCCTCCACTAAAGCTTAAAATTAACCATTAAGCCCAGATTCAGAAGGTACTACCCAAGTTTCTTGGACCTTGGGAGAATTTACCTAATTAGGTAATGCTTACAAAGAGTGACCTTAGCTGAAACTTTCCCTGAAACTGCTGCATTATCATGGTTTTGTGCAGATTAAATCTTAGCTAGCTGCCTTGCATTCATTCCCTAATGTCAACTGGACACCAGTAAAGACACTTAAGAGTTGGTGCCATGACTGTCCTGCAGGTACTCTACCCAGGTTTCTCTCCTAATCCTTCCAGTAGCCCTGTGCTGTGCGCTGTACAGGAAGGGAGATGAGCTGAAGCCCCCAGGATGATGAGCAGTGTTCAAAAGGACTCCCAGAAAACTCTGCTTAGTGAGGGACCGGACCCATCCATCCAAGAACAGCCCTTGTGTTCCTGCCATAGTCTGCTGGCAAATTGGTGTTGGCTGGACGGTTCATTCTTTTGGCTTGTTGTAGCCAACGGTAGTAGTCAGAGCTAACACTATTGTTCAAAAGTACTTCAGTCAAAAGATAAGAGACATATTGAAAAAAGAAGCCAGGTTAAGTAAGGGCCTTACTGTAACTGCCAGATGCCCACAGCTTTGGCTGGTTGTGAATTTTATGTAAGGTGACTCTCTGTACCTTCTCTTGCTATTGAGAATCTCAGTCCGTGCACCTTTCATGCACAGGTAATACATTAAAAAATATGGGATCTCGAGTGATTAGGTAATTCTTCCTGCAATCTGTTCCATTTATCTCCTTGGAATTGCAGTCGAAGCAAATGCGCAGCTATGAATTCTAGCAAGGTGAGGCATTGGCTTACATATCTGTGGTAGTTTTGCCTTGAATGAGCACAGAAGCACTGCTGCTTTTGTCTCCTATTTGTCTTCTTGAAATCTAAGGTTGTTAAATGTTACACTTTCACTCCACGTAATACATACTGTTTTTATAATGTTTCCTCTCCTTTTTAGAGAAACGACACCTGTCCTTTCTTTTTGCATTGTTTTACGGTCAGACATTAAATGCCGTAACAGTAATGTAGAAAATGCCATTCAAAAAATGCATGCCCTATAGCATGCTAAGAAAAATCAGTGTTTTAAGCATGGCATAAATGAGCTGAATGCTGAAGAGGGGGGAATGTAATTTTACAGAAATCTCTTTATGTACATCACCTAATGGAAATTGTGCATCAAAGCAAGGCAGGAATACATAAGGAGTTTTGTAAGCGTTCCTGGAAATGCATAAGCCCTGAAGTGGTGCTAGATACACGTAAGGAGGTGCCTCTTGTTCCCTATCTGACTTTAAGACCTGTGCTGTGACATTTTTATACTGGTTGGAAAACAATATGTTTTTTCATTGTACTTGAGCTCTTGTCCTTGGTCCTTGCCAAAAGTACAGCTGTGGTTGAGATGACATGCAAACCGGGGAGGAAAAACTCACAGCTTCATCTTTGATGATTTTTGATCTTACTTTGTAACTGCAGGATTCATGGAAAGATTCCTTCTCCTTCTTCTTCCATATCTGAGTAAGGAGAGTAAACGTATACATGTTGACATGGGCGGGTCTAGAAAAGGGGCGTGCAGATGGTGTGGCATCATTGCATAAAACACAAAACGTTTTTCTCCAGTTAAAGAGAAACTAAATGCTTTATTAATATGCTAGAGGGCTAGCACTATATTATTCAGTTCAAGATTAAAGTAGAAACCAATATAATTATTGGAATGTGCACTGATTTGCTAGACTGTGTACAGCGTTTAAAAAACACAACAAACTAGTCAAAACAAAGTTAAAAGATATACTATTAGTCCTGTAGTCATTAGAGTTAAATGTACATCTCTTACTCAGATTCATAGAGCAAAATATAGCTTTTTTGAGTATCTTGACAGTGCTTCCACTACTTCAATCAATCATTTCTACACCTGAGTTAATATTACCATACCCGAGTTAAGTTCTTTAGCTAGAGCTAAAAGCAGGCTGCCAGACTGTGAAATAGAAGAGAGACGTTACTAGGAATGGCTAACTGACAGCAAAATTGCAGGAGAAAGGATAGCTTGAAATTGAACAGCAGAACATGAAGACCATTAAAAAGGATAGAGGATTGTTAATGCCTGAGTCCAGGAGATGACAGAGAGCCATGAAGGCAACTAACTCTCTCAGCACTGCCTGAATAGCAATGCAGCTCTCCCTCCATGCAGGCTTTTTTTAAGTTTGAGTGGAGCAGGACTCTAAGAAGGGTGAAACTGCATCCCTGCTCCATCCACCTCAGCAGATTGACTGATTCCTGTATAAAACTGGAGGTCTCCCTGGCTCCTCTAGCTAAGACCACCCTTTGTAAGCACTTCCTAATTGGTTACATTCTCTCATGGTCCAAGAGACTTTGGCAGTATTTTTGGGCCTGGGCTTGATGGTTAATTTTAAGCTTTAGTAGAGGGTCTTTCATGTTAGTGCTGCTTTGATCAGGCATGAACTCCTCTAGAATTTAGTCACCCTTTAGAGGACTGAGTCAACTCCTGTAAAGTTGTTGTTGAATGTGCCTGTGCCATTTTCCCTGGGTGCTCACCCCAGCATACTAACACTCCCCCCAAAATGGAACTGCTATATGTTATGTTTGCACAAGGCTTGGAAAGGGCCTGTTAAAAAGGGCCTGCCGCCTCCTACGGCATTCCCCAGCCCACGGCAAATTCTTTCACTCGCAGAGGGGAAGGGGAGTATTGTTTGTTAGGCTCATTATGCACTTTCACAAATCCATTTTGATTCTTTCCAGGAACGCAAAACAATCCCGAGTGTGTATCAATCTGATTTGTTAACTGAAGGGTACCCTGGCAGCACTGTTGTATAGTGAAGCTGCCATCAGTTCTGAGGGAGTCTGTGGGATTTTTGAGAGATTATTGTTAACCAGATCCAAAGGCTTCTGGCCAAAATTTGGCTTAAGTGACAGCAGACTTCAAGCAGCTTTTCCACAGCTTTTGTTTTTAGGATTGAGTGGCAAAAGATTTTGCTGCGTTTTAAAATGGACTTTCTGTCTAAAGGTCTCAGTGTTGGAACTGGGTGTTTATTGGAGCTGAATAAGTGTCCCATTTTTGCACTGAAGGACCGACACCCCTCCACGAAGCTTGTGGTTTAAACTGATGGAGCAACCCATAGTTTACCTAAATAGTTCTGCCTGCATAAAACAGAGCAGAAAAACCTATGGTTTTACTGTTCTTTGCATCCCTTCTGGTATCTCAAGCATGCAGAAATGTTAATGATCCACTCACCAAAAAAAATATTTTACTGTGAAGAAATAAAAATACTGTTTATACTTCAGTGTTAGCCTTTGTTTTCTTAAGAAAATGGAAGTCATGATTAAAAAACTCCTGTTTTCTCCCATACTTTTATAGTGTGATGGTATAAACTTCTACTGCTTGAGGTATGCAGTAAAATATTTATTGTAAAAACATATAAAGGCCATATGACTTCATCAGTTTTATGAACTGCTTTTTCAGTTAATCTGCCCAGTACCAGCTTCCAGATTTTTGATACTTATTCGTTCAGTCAATTCTGTGGCCCCAGGTTTTGAGTAAAGCGCTGGAGGAGAAGCTGGCCTTCCAGAACGCGTTGGTACGGTGGTGTAAGCGAAGGAACTTTGTGCTGAAAAGTATAATACCTTTTAAAAAGTTATTTAGGTTTCTAGTAATAAACCTTTATTTCCAGTAATATCCAATCTTGTTTCACTCACTGCCATTGCTTAGTTTCAGGGATGATACTTTATTTATTGGTAACTTTTTGTTGTCTACGTTATTTACGTTGTATACTTTTATTGCTGGTTCTTATGGAAGCACAGTTTCAATATTTACAGAAACAAAAGTTACACCTCTCACTTCTCTAAGCAGATTTTTACTTCTCACTTTGGAGAACATAATGCTCATTGCAAATTTGGCAGACATTGCTCTCTGTATTAATTTTGTATAATAATGCAGAATATGAAATTAGTTTCTACTATCTCCTTTAAATAACTGCAGTGAGAAGCATAATGTGTATGGACTTGAAATTGATGACTTTACCTGAAATAATAAATACCATAAATTGGGAAAGAAGTCGTATATTAGAATATCATAACATGCATTTTATTACACACACAAATTGCTGCAGACTGAAAGCAAGACATTTTTCAACAATTCTCTCTTACTGCATTTACCTTGGTACAAACACTGATGGCCCAGATCTCTAATTGTGTTGTCAGAGCTCACATTGGACTTGACAGAAGCCACACCAGGAATAGGTGTACGTGGCCTATGAATTCAAATACACATGGCAGTGGAAATGATTTTCGCTTAATATAAAAGCAAGCTGAATAGAGTAATGGTCAGAAGTGTTAATTCATATGTTTTATATTTCTTAGATCCTCTGTCAATGGGTCCTCAAAAAGCACTGGAAACCATTGGTGCAAATTTACAGAAACAGTATGAAAACTGGCAGCCAAGGGTAAGTTGTATACTCTGCTTTCCTTTCTGTACCAGTATCTGTACAGCTCAAGGATAGAAAGAGGAAGTTAGCTGTGGTAACATGAAGTTAGGCAGAAGGCACAAGAGAGATGCACCTTTTATAGACTAACCAAATCAGAGGCATAAACCTCTGACAGAGTTGGGTGTTGCTCACAACAGTTGGTTCCTTTCTGACTTTATTAGTGTATAAGGAGCATCTCTACCCTGCCTTCAACTCAAAGCTTTTCCAAGACAGACTCTGGCTTAGGCTAAGAAGGAAGTTACTCACCATTATGTAACTCAGTGATCTCACAGCATCCATTGCTTGCTTAATCCATTCATGTGTATAGACTCTTGCAGGCTGTCAAACTCAATTACCTCTCTGATTGGTCTGTTGCATGGCTACCACTTCATTTAATCGGGGCAGAGGTAATTGTTCTAAGTCTTAGGTGCTGCACTGACACTTCTGTTAAGCTTTTCTACCATTACTGTATTTTTGGAGACTTTTTAGATCTTTTTTTTCTTTCTCTCTCCCCCTCTTTTTTTCAGTTCATTGTCTCTTCTGTAGTGAAATTGTTCTCGGTGTGAATTTCTGCAGTGTCAGCTAGTGGGAAGGCATGTCTCTTGGCTCTTACTTAGCAGTACATTTTCTTTTAACATTTTTGCTGTAACATGAATAATGTTGTAAGGGCACTAGCAAGTAGATGTTCTTGGTTTTGTTCAGAAAGATATTTCTAGGGATTTGGTCACTAACTGGTAACTGTCTGATGTGTGGTGCACGCATATTTTTTTGGAATTGAAAATGAAATAAAGATATCCCTGCTTTATGCCATTATGATTAGTTGCCAGCGACTTGCAGCTGTCTTTTCATTTCCTACTTATATTACAAATAATGTTGTTTTTTTTTGGTAAACGTAGTGGTTTCCTGATTTTTTCAGTGCTCAGTCAGGCTGTACAAGGATGGGAGTTATGTTTTTAACTTATTCCTGTTCATTAAAGATGAAAAAACCAAACCCAATTGAGTCATCCCTGCCAACACGGTTCCTTAAGACACCTGCCTATGCCTTGTTCTTCAGGTCTTAGACAGCAACCTGTTTGGAGCAAAACACTTCCTTCTTGTGTACTGCACATCACAGAGCACATCCACTACTAAACAATAACTTGTCAATAAAAAATAGTTTTGATGTGACCTGATCTGATTGGGAGAGAAGCAACTTTACCAGACGGGCTCTTAACTGCGCACTCACGTCTTCCTTTTACATCCTGTGTTGGCAGCTGGAATAGATTTATTCTCTTAGGTCTGGGAGCTCCTCTTTAGTATCCACAATGGAGTATGTTAAGGGGATATTGTTTCATCCCTTCCTTTTAACTTATCTCTTCAGTGCTCAGCACGTTTCAAAATTTTGTACACCTTGCTTATCAGCAAAAGGATTCTTGTGTTTCCTGTCCGCTGTGTGGGTTTTGTACATGGAGTAATAAGATGGCCAGTCTGCTGGGGGGGGGGTTGGCTAAAATCTTGCTTTGTGGATGCATTATGAATGTTTCACAATTTCAAAAGTCTCTTGATATTTTATGCAACTGTGAGGAAACCCTGGTGGAAAAGGCTTTGTCCTGGTTTTAGCAAGCCTTTAGGTAATTTTAATCAGTCACTCTAAAATCTAATTGGGTACACACAGATTTAGGGATGTTTCATAATTAATTTACTAGTTTCTGTATAATTTATAAAATCAATAAAGATAAATTGCTACTGCAAATGTTTTGCTTGGTCCTTGAGCCTGAAGACGCCTTGTCTTGCTCTTCACATGGCAGGCATCTCTTCCTGAGCAACTTTTTTTTTTTTTTTTTTTAAAGCCTTCATTCAAGCTGATTGCAATTCATAAAGGATTAATACCTTGATCTAGTGATGGGGGTATTCTTCCATTAAAGGAGAAATGATTCCCTCGGGGGATTTTTTCTGCAGAAGGCATCAGTTTATCTCTGGTGATACACTAGGAAAATAACTTCACTGAGAAATGCAAGTTCTGGTGTAAGAAGAGGGTGCAGACATTGTTATTGGATGGTCCTTACCAAAGTCTCTCCATTTTCTGTCTCAAAGATGAGGACAAAGTAATCTATTCGGAGCAGTTTAATAAACATAAGGTTGATATAGACTTTTTAAACTCTTCACAACCTTTTAATATTTTTCTTTTACTGGGTGCCTTTACACATGCACTTTACTGCGGAGTTGACTAATCAGCTCCTTAGTAAACCATCACTGTCTACACGTGCACCTGTATTAGGGTGCAGTAAACTAATTAACTCCACTGTAGGATAGTACTATCTGGGACAAGTTCTATCCTACAGCAAAGTCATTTCGTGCGCTGCAGTGGACGTGTAGATGGTGGCCAGGGCTGGCTGGGCCTGCTAGCCTTGCATTGTAGTGGTCTTGTGCCCCAGCCAGCCCCTCCACAGCATGTTGAGCTGGGGCGGAGCAGCCCTGGGCTGGCAGGCCCCCTAGGTCTCCTGCCAGCCACTTGCTTAGCCTCAACATGCTGACGTCCTGGGCACATGTGTAAACGCTGCACCTGGGAGTAATAAACTCTGGCGCAAACTGCGCTGGAGTCTATTTCTACATCCTAATTGCATGTGTAGATGCACCCACTGGGTAAAAACTCAACTCCAAAGGCATTACCTGCAGACAATTTGTAGTATTTGTTGGTGAAGCTCTTTACTTCAAGGTAAAAGACAAATCCACGGATGATTTCCTCAATGTCCCTCTTTGATACAAGTGTTCAGTGGGTGTACTTTTTTTAAAAATAGGTCTTTGTTTAAGAGAGCCCTGTCCTTACTGGTAGACATTATATTTAAGACAGGCTAATGTTCCTTTGCATTTTTCCTTTTGGAGTGCTGGAATTGACTCTTAATCTCTCTTTATTGAGTAAAAGGACTGGCTGACGCCTAACAGCAAGTATGGTGTGTGGAATCTAACATAGTAGTAAAACACCTTGATGTAGTGGTAAAAACAAACACTTCTCTCTGTTGTTTAATAATAGAGCCCATGGTACTAGAGGATGGGGACTGGATTCTGGTAGCAGCAGGTATTCTGTGTGTGGGCAGACCTCACGCTGCCTTGTAGAGTTTGCACAAAACATGAGGCAATTACTGAGCTCAGATGTTTGTGTGCAAGGTGCCCAGTTCTTAACAGTAAATCACAGCCCTTTGAAACATTGCAAGGCTAAACACGTACAACTTTATTGCACTCTACAGGGCTCTTGAGTTTTCTGCAGTAATAAAGAGAAGTTGATGTGCCATCTGCAATAAAACAATAGGAACATTATTGAATTTCCTAGACCTTTCATGTAAATACTAATAGATCTAGTTTTGCCTCTTTCTCTCTGTTTTGGAATGGTTGGAGATTTGGAAGAAGGAGGAAGACTTGGAAAGAGGAAACCTAAGCAATCTGTACTGAGGCTGGATCATTAAAACCTTGTGAGAAAACTGGCATTATGGAGCTGCCAATGTGCTCCTGTAAATGAGGAAAATACCTGTTGTCGCTATCTAATTGGGAATGTGTGAACAGTACTAATTAACTATAAACGGACCAGGGCCAATAAAGGAGGAACTTCCCATGGGGTCCTTAAGATTGACAAGTTTTATCGCAGGCCTGTGCTGTCTTGTTTGACTTTAAGCACAGGATGCTGTATGAATCAAGGTCTAGATAATTGTTGGTTAAAACATTACAAATAGCCGATGTGGAGATTCTGAAGAGGGGCAGGCTTGCAAATTCTGTGTTTCTGAAAGCTCCCAGGCTGTGTGTCTGGTACATATTTCCTTGCCAGGCCTTATTGAGCCCCTTTCTAAATAATTTATCAGTTTGCCATTGCTTGAAGTATTTCTTCTGATTAAATTTAAGACTTTGCTTTATTGCTGTGTAGCTACATAAATTTGTGTGCTGCAGGAGGGGGGAAAACACTTCAGCCATTGTTTCATCTGCAAACTACTGCAGTTAAATAAAATTCAGTCATTTCATTGCAAGTCTCAAGTGAAAGTTTTACTGGGAGAAGGAAGTAGGAGATTACAAAGCTGTGGGCGCACAATGAAGAATTTATCTCTCTGAAGAATTTTCTTAACAAATTAGAGCTCTGGCAGTTTGGCATGGAGATAATTTAGGTGCTGGTGAAAAAGTCAGTTAAGAAAATAGGAGCCTTGCCTTTATGTTGCCACCTCACTTCCCTGGAGGGAAATCCTTGACAGGTGTACTTTGGGGATTCTTCATGTACTTGGTGTAAGGTATTGAGGTGAGATACTGATCAGGCTTGAATGTCTCATCAGGTGTCCTTTCCCTCCCTCCATTGCCTGCAGGGTAGGCAGAATGTTGTAGGGAAGGAGGTGCTGGATAAGCACTTTGGCTTACATGTGATGGCAACAGGTGATGAATACTTACATTCTTGGAGGGGAGAGGGGTTGGCTGGCATTTCTTTTAGCCCTAGTGCCTGTTAGACTGTGCAAAAGAGATGGATTTCTTTTAGTCAAAAACCAAGAGATGAATTGTATGCAGTACAGACCATGGAAGAGGAAGGCTGCTGACTGTTAAAAGCCCTGCTGCAGTGAGGGGTGTTTGCTAGCCGGTAGAAGCTACTGCATTCCCTGAACAGAGCCTATTGCTGTGTGAATCAAAGACTTCAGTCCAGCTGTCTGCAGGGCCTGGCTCTCAAGTTCTTGTTCTGACGTCCGGGCAGATTTTCAGGAGTGGAATGGAGGGCTATAGGAAAGGAGGAGGGAGGAGCCCAACTTCCTAGAGTTGTGCTTTTTATAAGTCAGTGCTCTGTTTTCTGATGACCTGGCTAGAGAGAACGCAAATGTTTCTCTGCAGCCTCTTGGCTTGAGTTCTCTGATTTGGACTACAGTTGCTTTGGTAAATAAAGCACTAAATTCCCACTGGAGTTTAACTATTGAGCATGAGCATCCTACCGAAGCGGTAATGAGTCTCCTTGCGATGACTGAGAGTAGGGGTTGATGTTG